CGGTGAGTGCGGCCCTGTCGGGCCGGATGGCCCTGCCAGGGGACGGGTGGCCCTGCGAGGGGATGGGTGTCGGCTGGGGTCCCCACCGGGGCCCCCTCCCATCCCCCCTCGTCCTCTGGCGGTGGCGTTAAACCCAGGAGAGGGCCAAGGTCGGGGAGATGGAGTGGGAGGAGGTGAGTTTTCAGTCTGAACTCCTTCAAAAAGAGGTAGGACAGGGCTGACCTAGGCGCCCAGAACTGCTCCCCTGGCCGGGGGTTGGGGGGGGGTGCAGTTTGCAATTGCAGGAATGGCACCCCCTCAGCATCACCCCCTCAGAAGGTGCTGGGTGTAGCTAATGCTGGGAACCCCTCCTTGCGGTGGTCTTCCCGGGTGGGAGGAGGGGGGCCATGCTGGCACCAGCTAAGGTGAGAGCTAGGTGGCCCCTCCACCAGATGTCAGGGACCAAACCCTGCTGCCCCTCAGCCTTGTGGGCCTAGGGGCTTGGGGTGCCAGCCATTCCACCCCCTGGGGGTGAGCATCTGGAGCAGGGCTGCACTAGAACATTCTGGGATGCTGGAAATATTTTCCATCTGTGCTTTCGAATAAGATAGCCACGGTGTCCACGTGGCTGTTGAGCACAGGAACAGTGGCTAATGCAACTGAGGACCTGAATTTTTAAATTTGATTTTAATTAATTTAAATAGCCAGACGGTCCTAGTGGCTACCTCACTGGTGCAAATGTAGAGAGTGGGCACAGACAGCTAACTGGTGATCCAAGTAGCTGTTTCATTAACAGGAGCCAAAGGACAGGGCTCCCTGGAGAACCTGCGTGGATCCTGAGATAAGGGAATCTTCTACCCGAGGGAGCTACATGTAGGGAGCAGGCTCACTGCTCTACAGTTAGTCTGCAGAGCTGGGCGTGGCCCTGCCAAGTTCCCTGGCATTGCCGGGGTGGAAGGCACAGGGGCAGCCAGGCCCCCGCCTGCCCTGGGGAGCTCAGCCTTGCCCTTCCTCAGTGAGGCGGGAGGGAGAGGAAGGACTGAGAGTTCTGCCAGGGGTGGGCCGGTTGATGCCGCTCTGGGGGAGTGTGAGCTGAGGATGAGAAGGGCCGGAAGGGCAGGGGGGTGGACA